TGAGGAAAGTATTGGTGTTTTCTCGTCTCACATGTTAAGGGGAGAATGAATGGCTCGCGGGAAGATGCCGGGAACAGCACGCGTGTAAGTGTGCGCGCGTATATGCGCGTCCGCACTGGAAAACGCGCTATAGCGCCGTGTCTACCTCAAGGCACGGATTTTCTGCAGTCGTTCCCGCTCTTTCTCGGCTTATATCTAGCAATAAGGGAGAACCGACATCGTGGTCGTCATCGTGCGCGTGGATACGTATGTACGCGCGTGTCGCGCAACTCCAGCCTTTCTCGCTAAATGGCACGCCAACCGGCCACCCACACACGCCAATCCTCTGCCAAGCAACTTGATGAGTCCTTGAATACACCACCCTCTCAGTTGTGCGTGGTCTTAGTGGGGTTAAAACGCAAGCCACTGTCAGAAATGGAAAACATAGGCAGTTCCTTGAGTGCAAATTGCTGAAATTCTCTCGTTTCTAGTCAAAATTTCAACAACTTTATTGTACGTGCGCACGTGCAGTTAAATTTATATAAAGCAAAAATAATTAAAGCGTTAAAATTCTGTAGAATTTTTCATCTAACATTAAACATTACAATAAAGTTCGATAAGTTTTAATAGTTCATTTTTTAAATTATGTTTATTTTTAAGTTGACGTTTATTGTTTGTATTCTCTTGTTAATAATTACGTTGATGGCAAGTACGCGCATGTACCAGAAATTCTCACCGCGGCGGCCTCGCGGTAATGGCATGTCACTAGGTGAGAAGATCACGCTCGATACAAGGCGAGGGTGCGTTTTACTTGGAAGCGTGGGAGATGGTGCGTGTCGAGGTAGACTGGTAGTTACTAAGAACGCGTAGACAGACCGCACGAAGGAGGAAAGCGAGCGCTAACGACCGGTCACGTGTCCGACGGAAGAGATAAGAGTTGAAAAAGGAAATTTGTGTTTAGAAAATTACCGCGTCATTATCCCCAACCACGCCGCGGACGAGCAGCGACACGGTAATGTCCGCCCACGAAACGATCGTAGGTTGATAAGAATGAGGCGAAGAAGAAATTAAAAAGAGAGAGAATCGGTCATTCCCTTTTTTTTTTTTTTGAAGAATTATCGAACATTCCGCGACGATAAGCAACCCCTCGAAAGCGTGACTGAGTAAATTCACAGTGGACTTCATTATTCGACGGCTCAAGGACTTTCGATTCTTCATTTATATCGTATACTTTCTCTCCCTTCACTGTCTTTTCTCTTTCCCTCTCTCTCTTTCCTATCTCTACAATATCATATTATTCCATCCGTAGCCAAGCCATTAGCTCGTGTTTTCTCGTCAACCGCCACTTGGAGGTCTTTTTATCGAAGACATCGTTGTTCTCCGCTTTGCAGTTTTCCGGAGATGCTTATTTATATATTTACCCGGATTATATAAATTCTTTTACCATTTATAAATACTCTCTCGATTTATATTGCTAAATAATGCGAGAGATGTTTCGATATTCAATTGACGAAACAATCTTATAAGAACACGCTTTTATTCATATATCAGATTTATGTGAGTAAAAGATGCTGATTATTGATAAACTGTGTATGTGTGTGTATGACACAATTTTTAAATAACTATTTTAAATAACTGTTCGTAAAAGAACAAAATCGATATTACATTTATGTAAAGAAAAGAAATTTGTCAATTAGGCATATAGCTTTGTTAATAAAACGAACGAGAGCGTAATATTCAAACGCGGAAAAATCATTGCCCGCGATTGTCGTACGTTCCGAAGAGGCCAGGTTTTTCGTGTGATCACCGTCCGGTTAAGGCTGTATCGTGTGTGCGCGTTCGCGGCATTGTCCATTATACGACATAAAATTTCTTCCATCCCGCAGATAGGATCTGCCACCTCAGTCGCGTGTCCTACCGTGGGATCTGATAACGAACGAAGCCGAGTCCGCCCGCCGCTGTCTCTCGTTCTCTTTTTCGCGCTCATGCGGGGCGAACCGACTCGTCGACCGACCGATCGGTCGACCGACAGACGGATGGACGGGAAGAGATGCGCGGTGATAGAGACGCGCGCGTACACACACATACAACGCGGACGTGAACACGCACACACGTCAGTATCCTGGATCGCAGACGACCCCAATCATCCCCCACGGCGTGCTTCATCGAACGAAGGCTGTCAATATCGTCGGTATAAGCAGGCCCAATGATGTACGCGCGACGTCAACGAGTCTCCGTAAGATATCGGACGTGCTTTCGATTCGACGCGAGCGTGAGCGTGAGAAAATAGGGTGCGAACGATCGCTTTGTAACGACGGCCGCCGTTTCTCGCCGTCGCTCTCTTTTTCTATCATTCTGCCTCTCGCTCTATTCTTCCTTGCCTTTTCTCTCTGTTCGTCTTCTCGCAAATCCGATTTTCCCCTGGTATTCGTGGGGATGGACGATGATAAATGCCGCCCATCGGTAAACGTAATCATAACAATAATTGCAATCATTTCTCTTGTGTCATTAATATATGACCACAATTAATAAAAAAAAAAAAAACATTATATTTTTCATTTTTATAATATTTTTAGATATTCTTAGAGTTTTCTAACAATAATTGTAATTTTTAATATCTCATTTTATAATAACTTTGCCAACGACAACCGTACGTGATAAATATTGCAACTAAGGAAAATTACATTATTGGTGCTCGAAAAAATATAATTTTTTTTTTTTTGCCACGTTTTCTACTCTGTCGCAACATATATATACATCGTTCATTTAATATTCATGAATTGGTAGTTGAGGATTGACTAGTAGTGGTAAGAAAATGCACTTACATTTCTGATAGACGTTTGTATATTTTATAGCGGAAACTAGCCGGCAATATAATAATCGACGTAGCAGGTGGTGGTCTCAGCACATTCTCGTGACAAAAGTACAACGACGATCTAGGTTGGGAAAGGGTGGAGGGTTGGCCGCGCACGTAGAAGCGTAGAATAATGTAGCGAGGTATTTCCGCATAGGAAGCCGTGCATTAGGCTATCAGATCGAGCACGCGCGACAACGACTAGCAGAGAAAGAGGAGGAAAAAGCCCGAGCAAAACCCTTACGTGATTAGTTGTGGAAGACAAGAATACCGCGTACAGAAAAGATGGCAGAACAGACACCTTGAATTTTCTTACAGTTAAGTTAATCCGAGAAATTGCAAATTTCACATTATCTGAGACGAAAACTTTTATCATGTAAACATTCATTACTAGAAACAAATAAACTACCATTCGTGTGAACAGATATATATTCTGAATTATTTTGAAATATTCGGAATACAAAAAATATATAAACATTAAAATTTTATTTTATATACAATGACGTTAAAATATTAATAAATATATTAGAGTATGTATTAGGGATATAAACGTATATAAAAAGCTTTATATTTTGCACAGTTACATAACGTAGATAGTAACGTGATATATATATAATCGCGTTTACATATTTAAAAAAATTATCTTAATCTATAAAAAATGCAAGGCGCGATTTAGGAAAGAAACTTAAGACGGATTTTGTGAGAGCAGAATGGAGAATGTGTCGAAGGAGACGAAAAAAACCCTCAGGTCAAATGTACCGAAATATATTGAAGCGTTAATTAGCTTTGTGCGTACCGTGAAATACGAGCGTGCAATTTTTGCTGGACGTTTTAAAGTTCCGCAAACAGACCGCGTGCTCTTTTATCTGCGATCCTACTCTTTTTGATAGTCTCATTGAATAAAGAATTACACACAGAACGGTAAACTGATAATTAACAGCGATGCTCTTATTGCTACCAAAACAGACAGAATTATTTTACTTTTCGTTTATGGGATTCTATGCGTATGCACAACATCGACATTTCCTACTTGACTATCCCGATATAATCTCGCGGTCTCTTTATTTTTCTCTGTTTTTCTTTTAACTTTTTAATCAGTTGGTTTTTATTAACCTTAAACTGCTTGATATTATTATACAATAGAGTTGAAAATGTTTGGAATGCTTTGTTAAGTAAAATGCACCATGAATTACCAGCATTAACTGAAAATCTGTTCACAGTTGTGCTTTATTTTTATTGTTAAATGTTTTTGTTGAGAATCTATATGTTATCGGAAACACGTGGTCAACTTGTATCGTACTCGTAGCGAAGCGGTAGCTACGTCGACACGCAGAACTGCCGCGAGAACTTACGATTTTCATGAGAGAGTGGACATCTCGCGATAAGAAAGCGGCAATAATATAACGACGAGGCCGTTCGCGCGCTATCCGCCTTCGACCACCTTGTATCTTGTGTAGATCTGTACTGTACTCAGCCTAATTATAATCAGGCTAATGCCTGCCGGACAGTATGTGTCGGTACCTACGGCCTCCTACGCTTCTATATGTGCCGTTATGTAGGTAGCGTTACTTATCCCCAGCTGCTACGAGAGAGGGTAATTAAGATTCGGACACACCCATCGTGACTCTCGTCTCTTGGGCTCTGACCGCTTCAGCAAAGGGAGTGGTCGATCCCTCGAAAACCTCGTTCTCGTTTGCATACACGAAACGCGCCTCTCTGTTATCAGAAACGTCTTCCACGATTCCATTCTTTCTCGACCGGAGAATCGAACGAGAGAACGAAAACGTTCGTGATTACATAGGGGAGTGGCAACAGCTTGTCTGTCGAGTCCTCGAGATTTTCTACTGCAAAATTGCCCGCTCCTTCTCGTGAATTTAATTACCCGTAGGACACACACCAGCGATGCCAAACGATTCAATCTCGTTAAGTCCCGACTTGTACGAGATCGAAAATCAATTATCGACAAAAATACTCAACTTCTTGAGTTCTTCTATTATTGTTTTTTTTTTTTTACGTGTATTTGCGTAAATATAGTATGTCGTTTTCGATAAACTTTCTTTAATTCTGATTTTAAGTTTTGAAAAAATCGAGCCGTTCGCAAAACCATGTCTGTTTCGAAAAGATCAAATTTCAATTACATACAAATTCAAAATTGGTTATCACTCACCGGAAGTTGGAGAACCACTTGACCAGCTGCGCTGTATTATTTTTGTTGAACTTGATGTCGGGGAAGTACATCTTAAGGACGGCTGAGGACGGGTACCTGACCCAGAAGAACATCAGCTTCGCCTTCCTCAGATGCATCGGAGTCAGCGTCGACGAGTTCACCGTGGTTAAGGAAATACTCATTTTGCAAGCAAACTTACAAACATATATGCAAACAACAGAAGAAAAAATAGCGAGTGTTTTGACATAAGAGAGAAGGAGAGAGAAAAAGAGAGACAGAATTAACTTAAAAAAGAAAAAAGCAAAGTGCTGATTCGCCTCGAACAGTCGAATCTCAAACATAATCGCGTTTTCTTTCGTATCGAATCGGATTAGAAATCGTACAAGCTGTGGCTATCGCGAGGGCGGGCGGTATAGAAGGGTTCTTACCACGAAGTTGATCTACGATTGGCCCTATCCTCAGCAGAAGCCTTACTGACTCCTTATTGGTAATAGGATCTCTGTATGTGGTTTCATCGCGATCTTATTCAATTAAGTCGTCCGAATCTCCGCTACGGCGTTCTTTCGAATCAATTTGTTCGAAATATATGTATCGAAGAAAGAGAGGAGGAGTAGGAAGGAGAAAAAAAGTACGACCGAGCAAAATATATTCAGATGCATCAAACGCCAGCGCGATTCGCGACTAGGACGCGTCCGGAGGAGCGCGGAGTAGTAGATCGTGTCACGGCGATGCACAACGCGCTCGACCTACCCCAAGTGAGAGGAGAGAGTGAAAAAAAATGCGCCATTGATTTTACATCAAAGGCCGACTAAAAAGGCGGCAAAGAACGGGCACGCTACTACCCGATCGAGCGACCCGGTCCAACACGACCGATGCAGTTCCGACATTGCACCGGACGATCGGCGCTCACACGAACCCGCGCGCGACACTCGCCTTTTTTTCCTCGTTGCACCGAGGTGAACTCCAATCCGCAAGCCATCGGATCTCTTTGCACGCTCTTTCGGTAACTCAGAAGCAAGCCGTGGCGAGGTGGACCATGCGCGATAATCGGGCTGGTGAACCGTTCGCGTTCGCTTCTCACTTTCCGGCGATTCTAAGAGTGTGTGTTCTAAATATATGCATTCGCGGCTTTAATTACTTTGAGAAAGGCTCGTTTCTTCACACGATTTAAGCTCGCGATTTTTACGATTTTTTGTTTACTGCGTGCTACGAATTTATAACGTAATACATAGTGTTCGACAAACCTCGAAGTATTATTTTATAAATGTAACAATCTGCAAACTTACAAAGACTTGAACTGTTCTCTTTTTAAATATTAAAATATAAAAATTATTTATTATTATACAAAAATAATTATAAATAATTGTTTAAAAATATGAGAAAAAAATCGTATTTTCTGAGATCGATTAAATTTAGCTCAAACAAATTTTTTATATTATCATATAAAAAATTAATTCTATTAATTCACGTATACATATCAAAATGTATATGATATAATATATATAATAAACAAAATAATATCTTTTATCTCAATGGAAGACGCGAAAAAAGTAAATACTTAAATACAATTCAATACGTAGAAACTTATATCACCGAAGTAGCAAAAGTAGCTTATCTACGATAAGTCGAAGAGACGCTCGAAATGTGAAGTTCGCGAAATGCTCAGGCTGAATTGCGAAATTGCAGGACAGATTATTGGCTTGCGAAGTTAGGTGAGACTGGAGGCCGAGGGTGGGCCGGGTAGGGTAAAGAACTTTTGGCTCGGTGCGTTGTTGCCGGACAAACTCTACTCGTAGGTGCAGCCAACATTAGCCTAACTCCGTGGCAAACTAATCTAACATTCGTCCGAGCTTCCTCGCTCCGGCCTTCCAAGCGAACGAACGAGCGAATGTGAGCCATTCGCTCCAGCTTTTTCTCTCTCTCTCTCTCCCTTTCTCTCAAAAACTCGCCATTACATCGCAAACTTTTCGAGTACAGCTTCTCTTCTATCGCAAAAAAATATTCTTCTTAACATCTTGATAGTTTTTCTCAGAAGTTTTACATACATTTTTGATCGCCGAATATTTTCAGATAACATTTTGCTTATTTCAAAATGATTTTTATATAAATATCTTACCTTTTAAGTAAATAAGTGATTGATAATTATATATTTTTTGTGTATTTTGATTATCAGACTTTATATACCTTATATTTTTAAATTAGTTATCTGAAGAATATTTCAAGCAACGATGGTGGCAATTCTATTCTTGAAAATATAGGTATTAGTAAAGGATATTGTAGGCTGAATCCCGTCGTAGCTGATATCACCAGAGTTGCAGTCGCTAGCTCGGTCGTTGCTGTCCATCCTGAGGTGTCCGTAATCCGGACTGCCGTGCTGGGCCGCCGCCAGTAATGCTGGATGCAACATAGCCGGCGGATGGGGCAGTGGGGGGGAATCCCTGAGTTCTACACCTCCACCCGGAGGACTCGCGGGTAAATGATGTGGCCCCGGAGGTGGTACTTGACCAGGATGACTCGCATGAGGATTGAAAAACGGCGAATAGGGTGAGAACACTTGACTCTCGTGGAGGCTTGGATTTGGTATCGCTACACTGGTTGGCAGAGACACCGGCAGCATTGGTGGCGGCGCGTGGTAGGGTCTCGGCGGCGGGGGAGGCGGGGGACTATCGCTACCTCCTTGCGAACCGTTTCCCTCCTGCGCTAGGATTCTGGACACCGTCCTAGGAGTAATTCTTGTGTCCGTCACCTGTAAAGCGTACTAATTAGTATTTCTTTTTAGACAGACTTATCAATTGTCCATTTCTATAAAATAAAATATAAGTTTATATTTATGAGACTAAATAAAATTTAGTAAAAATAAATGATACATAATTAAGAAATTGTGTAATATTTGTTCGTAATAATTTCTCAGTGATTTCAATTTATACAGTAATCTCAAAAATATTATAGATGACTGAAGAGATTAAATATATAAAGTGAGACTAATTTGAAAGATCTAATTTGAATATCTTGAAGAATTTATATAAGAAATTATGCGTAACAAGAGAGTGCGATCAAAAGAGAAATAAGATATTTCGAAATCTACAGTTTCTTATTCCTTGTGAGTAAACCTAATAATTTTTAATGTCATAATAAATAGTTTATCAATCTAATATATAATTTTTAAATTTGTTTTTATAAGCAATGTTTTTAAATAAAAATAGTATCTCTTTTAGCATGTGCTTCTTCATGCTGGGAGCAGAAACATTCTAGTAAATAAAATAAAAGAGTAAATTGTTTTTAAATTTTTTACTAAGAGAAACGGTTATTTTGCTTGATAAGTCATTCTTAATATTTTATTTTAATATACAAGCTCTGTGACTCTCTCTCGAAATAATGCAATTTTTGTCATATTTGTTTCATAGAACGCATAATTTACAAATTATTCAAGATATGCAAAGTATGTATTTTTTAATCTTGTATATAAGTATAAAAACTTGCTCTTCATATTTTTTCTGTACATATTTGTAATATTAAGTGTATCTATTTACTTATATATTTGTGTAAAAATATTCAAAATTAATGAATTAAACACGCAATATTTTGCGATGCTTACCTTATGACGCTTTTTCTTCGGCGTCATGACGAGCGACAAGGCCTCGTTTTGTTCCGAGTCCCTGGTTTCTCTCTCGTCACCTCTCATATTGCAGTATTGGTCGCGTTGTTGCTCTCTTTGCTGCTGTTCGCGTTGCTGCTGATGTTGTTGTTGATGTTGTTGCTGTTGCTGCGCCTGCATAGAGGCCATGGCATATATCGTCGGCGGTTTTGGCGTCTGAAACATTCCAACTCCGCTCGGCCTTCCGTGCGAGGGCAGCTGATTCATCTGATTAAGATTATTTTCCGTGGGTCCAGCGTGAGGGCCATGGGGCACACCACCGATGGACCCGAGTTGCGAAAACCCCGTGGGTTGTGGAGGAGGGGGCCCACCGTTGAGGGGCCCCCGTGGCCCGTTTGGGCCACCGGCTTGTTGTGGTGCTCCTCTATCGACTACTTTCGTTCTCGGCGACTTTCTCTCGAGCATCTGACTCGCGAGAAGGAGGTCCTTGTTCAGCTGTTCGGCGGCAGCCTGCGCTGCCTCGGTCTGCTTACCGAGAAACCTCCTTTGTTGCACAAACCTCGAGACAATACTGTCAATCAGATTAGTTAAAGACGAGGTTATTTCCGTCTTCAAGATATCCGCTAAACCTTCCAAGTCGGCGCCAGTGATATGAGGACCGGACGAACTGGCTGCTCCGGCGGCACCTCTGAAGACGTTCAACCTTTCTTGAAAATCTTTATGTTGAATAGGTGTAGTAGATGGTGGCAATTGCGGCGTTTGCGGCGTCGGAGGCCCAGTATTATTTTGACTCTGTGGCTGTGGCTGACTTGGTGGCGGTGGTGAACTTTGTCGTTGATGTACCTGCTGCACCTGCTGCTGCTGCTGTTGCTGCTGCTGTTGCTGCTGCTGCTGCTGCTGTTGTTGTTGTTGCTGCTGCTGCTGCTGCTGCTGCTGTTGTTGTTGTTGTTGTTGTTGTTGCTGCTGCTGCTGCTGCTGCTGCCTTACAGCCGCTTCTTGATGCTGTTTCATTCTTTCAAGAGCAGCGTGTTGTTGTTCAAAGTAAAGTTTGTGTCCCATATGATACATAGCGGCAGCTGCTGCGTGAGGATGATCAGGTGGGAGGGCAGGAAGGCCGTTATACGGCGGTGGATGAGGTCGTGGTGGTCTTGGTGGTGGTTGCGGTTGAGGCTGAGGACTAGGTGGCGCATCGCCACTCTCGCTTGTGTCCGGCTCCATTCTACTGGAGAGTTCCATGTATTTTTGCTGCATTTCCGCCAATTGCTCGTGCAGCAGCTTCAACTGGATCTTCAGGTTGTCCTTCTCCTCCCGTTTCTGTCTAATCGTCGCCGGATCTTCCTCCTCTTCGCTTTCATCTTCGTCGTCCATCATGGTGTCATTGACACTATGCTGGAGAACGTGATGCACCGTCTGTTGCTGTGGTTGATAAAGCTTGCGCTTTTTGCAGCCGTTTACCGTGGCTGGCTGAAGCGCCGGACTACTGCGCATCGTGCTGACAATATTCTCCACGCGGGCACGTTTGATTTCCGTCGTTGGAGAGCTCGTCTCGGTCTTTGGCACGATCGGACAAGGAGAATGACTCGGGCTACGTTTGATATTCAACGACTCCTGTATCTCTTCTTTAACGGAGACGGAGCCTGACCTTGGTGCCGTTGGGCTAGGAGGCAAGCTCTGCTCGCAATCCGATCCGTCCAAGTTCGCTCCTGGATCCATACCGGCCTCAGCAAAAGCTTCCTCCATCGCGCGTGCCGCGGAGGCAGCATCCTCAGCGCTGTCCTCAGCATCTCCCGGCATTACGGTATCGCGGTCACTATGATTCGCGCTATTCACGACGTTATTGCCATCACCACTTTCTTCTCCGCCACTCTGCACTGTTCCACTGCGCGCACTATCACTATTTTGTTGATGCTGTTGTGGACTCTGTTGATGCTGCGATTTAAGTAATTCCGCGGTAGTGTTGTTATTGTTGTTATTGTGTATACTGTTGTTATTGTTAGGCTGCTCCTGCACGCCAAGAGCAGAGAGCTTACGCCCCTGCAGTAGCATGTCGCGGAGCATGTGCTGCGTGAGGTCGGCTGTGGCGGGATCGTCGCAATTAACAACGGCGCCTGGTTGCAGATTTGAGGCGGGATCCATACCGGCACCGGTCATCCCGTGACCGCCCTCTGGCGGCGATCCGCCAGCGTCACTGGCCTGTTTGACCTGCCGTCCTAATAACTCGTTCAGCATCTTGGCGGGGCCGAAGCCCGGAGCCCCGAAGAAGCCGAAAGCCGCGTGGGCGGAATGCTGCTGGGTTGTGGGACCCGTCGTAGCTGTACCTAAGTGACTTTGACTGCCAGTCGCTCCAGCCTGCTGCTGGAGCTGTTGTTGTTGTTGTTGTGATTGCGACTGGTGATGTTGTTGCTGTTGTTGTTGTTGCTGTTGTTGTTGATGTGACGGCGGCCCGCTACCACTGAAGATCGAGCCGTATAATCCACCACCGAGGAAGGATGGCCGGGAGCTAAAGTTCGGTATACTCGAGTAGCTGTTGCGCGGCTCACCGGCGTCCACGCGCTGTCTGGTGCGCTTCTGCTTCTTCAGAAGTTGCTGTTGCTTGCTTTCCGTGGTTGCTCCGTAGAGGGCGAAACACTCGGTCTCCTCCTCCGATGACATCATCGGCCGTCTGGTTGGTCGGCCCCCCGAAGGCCTCCGCGTCCCCTCCCCGCCAGGGCTCCTTGTCACCCCTCCCCTTCTCGCTCGAATAGCCCCTCGTGGCTCAGCGCGCTGCCTCGGCTTCTGCACTGTGTAGTTTCTCCGTGTTCCCCTACTACAGCCGCCTCTTCTCTACGTTCCTTCTAGCTAATGCTCCCCACCCCGTTCGCCACCGACCACCCCGCACCACTTCCTTCAGCCGCGCCGTCTCCTTCTCGGATCTTCTTCTCCTCCTTCTCTTCCTTTTCCTCCGTCGCTGCCGCCTCCTCCACCTCCTCCGTCGCCGTCGACAACGACGACGACGTCGTCGGTACCTTTCTCTTTTCTGACGAACTCCTGCTTCCTCCTCTTCTTCTTCTTCTCCTTCTCTCGCGCCTCCTCTTCCTCTTCTTCCGTCGTTCCTCTCTTTTTCTGTGCTTTCTTTTCACTATTCCTCGCCCCACACCTTCCGCCGTAGACCTGACGCCAACGGCTGAAGTTGCTGCTCGGTGACTCGGTGTTGTCCGACCGCCCTCGTCTCGGGATGGCGGGTTTTCTTTGGGAGAGTCGATTCGTTATCGGGTTTGTATCCGCTGCTGTCGTATTTCTTACTACTTCTGCTACGATGATTGTTATAACCGGAATCGCCGCTTCTGATGCTTTTGCTACTGATGCGTTTATTCCCGGTGATCGTTGCAATGTTGTTGCCGTTTACGATAATCAAAAGGGAAGTCAGTGCTCTCGCGGGTGGAATCTTCGTGCTCCCGCTTGGGAGCTGCATCCTTCGAGCTCGCCAAAGGGCTAAGTGCCCCTCGCTCCCTCGTCTCGATTTTCGTAGCCGCAATTCTCCGATACGTCTGTAAAAAAAAAAAGAAAACAATGTTTTATCTTAAACGAATCGAATATCGCTTGTCTATATATACAATGAAAGAATCGATTTACAAGAACAGTAATAGCACATTGTGGATTATTTTAAGCTTTGTATATAGACCGTCGTATTGAAAGAAACGTCGCTTCCGTAGATAGAAGACACTGTATGCAGTGTATATATACTTGTCGTTTCCTCTTATTATTGACTTATCTTATTTTAACTGTAAATCTCGTACATATAGGAAGAAGGCGAAAAGTAGGTTACTATAAATATGTTTTTAATTATTTGTTGTAGTTGCAATTTATTCGTATTTATTCATGTTTACGTTGTTGAAAGAGAGATGTTTCTTACTGATAAACTGTATATTTTTTCTATACCTTTTTCTATTTATTTTTTGTTATATTTCTTTATCTATTTGTATACGCGTATACATGTGACCTATATATGAACACATGTATTGTAATATAGTAAATATTATAACACATTCTCATAAAAATTTAATCTCAAAGAAATAATTCTTATTTTCTCGACTATACAAATAGTCATGAATTTGTTGCAAGATGACGTAACGTTGTGATAGAAAGAAAAGCGAACATGCTATCGGATAAAAATATAATGATCGACCATGCCGTCGGCAACGGCGACGACTACGACGTCGACGAAGAAGAACAGACCGCGGGTGACAGTTGCGAACAATGTTTCACCCTCGTCCAAACGCCCTGCGGCCGCTAGAAGCAAAAACTCAAAGTATAGTGAGTTACGACAGGGTTAGCAAAGAAGGGGGTAGTTTGCCTGAGAAGCGGCCATAAGAAAATTACTTGCGTTGAATATCTTATTCGATACGTAAGCAGTTCCGTCTAGAGAGTGGTCTCTCTCCTCGGCGAAGGATGCGTACCGTCGTCGGTCGATATTCGATGAAAGAAAGAAGCACAAAAAGTAATTGATAATCTGTTTCGCGCACTCGATCATAGAAAGACCAAACCCATCAGACTTACGATTAAACGAAATAAAAACTACGTACAATTGAAAAAAAGAAACATTTTAATAGAATCTGTTGCACCGTACGGGCGCAAATAATCGCTCTTTATTCGTCAATGGTAGAACAGACTGTTAGAAGCTTCGATCGTCACGCAGTTCAATTGACGCTGCGTATAAGTGCGTAAGTGAGACGGTTGTATAGTTGCACGTATGCATTACGGTATAGAGCTTGAATACGTACTAATACAACGCACGAGCGCATGTGTTTGTGCACACGTAGTGAGATTCGAAGCAACAGCTGAGCAGTTTAAAGCACCTGCGCTCAATAAGCCAACAATATTCCACAGTTTGCCTACGCATAAATCCCTTTGCGTACGAAGACGTCTCCGTGTTCGTTCCTACACGTATCAAGAAATCGAAAGAGCTTGTAGAAAACAAACATGTGTGAGATGGCGCAAAATGAGGAGAATTCAATAAAAATTCTATTTCTTAGCAAAAAATTAAAATTTTACGACTTTGATTGTATTCTTTCATTCTGATGAAAATTTGATGAATAAAAATAAAGTAGCAATACAAGTTTTTTCTTCTTATTGATGGAATATCGCAAATTGCATAACAAGAAGACAGATTGCTGCAAGGCGAGCAAATACGCGAGCACGTATTTGAAGTATCGTCGACGTCCTCATTGTGCACTTGAATCACTATTACGTAAACGTTTCAATTACGGCAAGTTAACGCGTTCTCGAGCACTTCTCTCTCTCTCTCTCTCTCTCTCTCTCTCTCTCTCTCCTCGAAGAGAAGGGATTTGTTCCTAGAAATTACTAGGCAGTTCCGTTGGCAATTACCTCGTAGGGGTGCAGCGCTCTTACCATGAGGCTCGTCACTCCAGAAGTGACATATGGTACCGACCTCGATAAGGTCTACAGGACGACCGGTACCTGGACAGGAGGGACGCTTCGAGGGGGGTCGGACGAACTTCTGTCTTTCCCATTTTTGATCGCTACTTCCCCGTGTGCTGCCATGCGTGGGACATGAAGGGGAAAACAAAAAGGTGCCGGTGCCCTGCCGGAAATGGCTTCAGGAACTCTCCCACTGTTGCGTCGATTCGGAAGTAGACACGACGAGCTAATTACACGCGAGAAACATGTTCACAAACGCGAGCGTGGAAGAGAAAGAGAGAAGAAGAGGCGTGAACAAAATCTTACTTGCTGTTACTTTTTATATATTCATTAAAAATATTGATCTTCTTTTATTTTAAAATATATAACTTTTTATATCTTATCTTTTTCTCTTTATTATTTGAGAGAAAATCTCTTAAAAAGAAGATAAAAACAGACAGTAAAAATTACAAAAATAATGTACAAAAATATGCATGTGTGAGCGTAAAATCATTTTTGTTTATCACAAAATCAGCGACTTTTAAAGCGCAACAAATACACACAAGGCAAGTCACCAATGATCATTTCCTGCACGTCATACGATATTTATCATTTAAGCAGGTGGGTAGATTTCAAAGCGTGATTATAGTGCACATAGTGATAGGGTCCGCAAGTAATACGTAGGATAGTTAACGCATAGGGAGCTCTCGATAGAACTTCAAGGTGATAGTCAATATTACAACGAGTGATCGTTTTCCTAAGCACATGACGACACATGAGGAGTCACGATGCAAGTGATGACGATTCAGGGACGCAGCATAAACTGTGACCTCGATGACTAAACTTTACGAACAACCAAATTAGGCGATTTCGTTCAATATTCTTGTACACACGCGGCAATTTTCAATTCTCCCTCTTCGTGAGACAGACGAAGAAGTGAAAGGAGATTGTTTCCTGCGTGAGAGCATCACATGGTATACGTACCCCACATGACGCTGTCGAGGTAACATAGCAATGGCATGTGCATCGGAATTCCACCCCCTGTAGGTGTCATGTGGTGAGAAACGCTCGCAGGGGGTTGCATGGGAACTCGACTGTGGTCATCAGTCCATGTCCATCGCGTATATACACACGCCACTGCTTAGATACATACGACTAGCTTCACCCTTCCCGATATTAAAATTATTGCAACATTCGTTTCGTCATTATGCCTACGACACAAAGGGGGAAGGATAGGCATACCGCCCTCGCCGTAACACGCATTCGCGACCGCACAAACACGTCTCGCCTAAGCGCAAACGTGTATACACGCGCACACGCGCAAGCGAAATGTACGCCGAGCGTACTCACACGCGTCGACGGCGCACACGCCTGCACATTGTGTATGTACACACACGGTTCACACGCGTTCAGCATATTATCGGCCTGCTCTGATGCAACAAGTTGACCGGGTGTCAATTGATGTGTTATTAATTGGAGGTTAATTGCGTTAATGCGCTGCCGACCCCGCCTCTCTGTCGTCTACCTGCTCTCCCACTCTACCCTCCTCCCCGCGACACCCTCCACCCCTCCCTCCACCTTCAACGAGCCCCACTGTTTTATTATTATTTTGCATTCGAATCGTTTCGATTCAACACACACTGGCACGCGCCCAAACCAAACTAGGTAGAAGAGAGAGAGAGAAAGAGAGAGAAAGAGAGAGGACCGTGAGTCGACTCGGATGGGCGCGAGCCGGAGAGAGCGCGAGAGAGCATTTAAAAGCGGCGGCCTGTCACCGATTTTCATAATTCACAGCTCGTTAAATTTGTTTCGCTTTTTGCCCCGCTTTTCGCGGTTACGCGCCCCGACGCCATTAATCTACCTTCGGTCGCTTTCAATGAGTTTAATCGCGTTTCAAAAACAATATGGGTCAACGCCACGCTTGTGTTATTCCTGACACGTGAGCATGACCTTCTCGCCGTTTTCATTTCGATTTCGGTACCCATTCATGCCGCCACAGATAGTACATGATAATGAGCATCGGCATTTTTCGAGAACTGACGTAGCTGCAGTTCGGTGCGTGCCGCATTTCAGCAAAGCCAACAGATAAGTCGAAAATAACAGAATTCTACATGTAAATTCTACTACGAGACAACGTTATGTTTAACGTCTTAATCTTATGAAATTCCGAAGTGTCTTAATTCTTAAGAAAATTTTTCGATAAATATGTTTGTAATCGCAAATCGCAAAGATTTTCGACGAGAGAAAGATGTTTGCAACCTTTCTTTCAAATTATTCCCATGACTTCTCGTGGTGGGAAACGCTAACGTCTGATATTGAAGTCTACAAAAAAACCTTGCAACGCCCTTCGTCCTCCTTCAGAAAAGGAAGTAGGAACAACGGTCCTTGCCCTCAATGGCGTGGAAGCCAAGTTGCGGCTTTCGAAATCAAAAACTGAAAATTTTTGCGGTAATAATAATCGCACTTCTATTTAATGATTTATTGTGTTAATTTAACGCTTTATAGAATAAATTACGCTGGCCAATTTGATCTCTGTTTATATTTAACTACAAGTATCGCATAAAAGTACAAACAATAAAGTGTGTTTAAAGCCGCTTATCAGTCGTGTATTTAATTAATATAGATATCGTTAAAAACGCATCATTTATAATCTGATTCAATAAAATAAATTTATAAACAATAAAATGATTGTCTAATAAATGTATATGTACAGATAAAAACATCGTCACAGTTAATTATGTTCTGTATTGAATATGTATAGTTTTATGGACGTTGTATCTAAAATAATGAATTATGCAATCGCGCGCGTAATTATATACTAAATAAATGGAGAATAAAATAATTTTATAAACAAAAAACTAGCAACAGAACGTAAACTTGACGTTACTCATATCTAAGATGTTCCCTCATTGTCGACGACACTGTAAGATCAAGAAGGCCCCCTCGGTAGCATTCAGGTGGTTTGCCGGGTGGCGTTTTCGATTTAAATGTCCAGGTATCCCCTGACTGTACATCCGATCGAGGTAACTTCTCGAGACTCGGCCTCCCCTTAAGAGCTCGCCCCACCAATGAGAAAAGACGTCGAAGAAGAAGGGCGAAGAAGGTAAGAATGCCTTCTTACGACGCGGGA